CGTACGCGTGTGATTACTCGATGTCGTGGATGTTCGGCTGAGATCGAACGTTCTCGTGATTGTACGAATATGCTGGATCGGTGATTGTTGGTAGAAATTGGTCCCTTTATGGTACCTGTAAGCGTTTGATATTAGTTTAACGCATTTTGCGATTCTGGTTGCATAATAATTGATAATTTATCACGATTGAATGATTTTAATAGTTTTATATCTTCTTGTCAAAGCATTCAATTATCGTGCTCGTTCCTCTTTCATTCGAATATTTGTTAATTATTTTTTCAAACGATACAGTTTGAACTAGTTTTGTAACCTCTTTTCAAAACAATTATTACAAAATACGTTACGATAAAATCTTTACAATTAAGTGGAAAGAGGGACGTTTTTATCAGATATGAAAATAAAAATTACACGATAAAAGTTCTCTGTTTCAATTAATGTATTCCATTCTATAATAATAGAAATATGACAGAAAGCATTGCATGTTCGCGATATATTTAGGAATTATACGTTTAACAATTGCGGGTCAAGGAAAAGGGAGAGAGCATTAATTATCTATAAATTTCTATTTTCACTTTAAGAAACTTATTTTTTCACGGTTCAAATTCAGTCACGCGAGAAATGATATATTTTTTTTTTTTGATATTGAACCGAAAATTACACGCAAAGGGCGTGTAAAAAAATTCGAAGATCTTATAAAAATAGGAAGCTAAAAAATATTTAATTCACCTCATTTCCGCGAACGTAATAATCGCCAAATTACGCCATTAATATAAAAAGCTCACCCATAAATCAAAAGTAAATTTGCTTTTTCAACTACCCTGAATCGACCTCGTTTCATTCGCGGAAAGTTCAATAATAAAGCTAACGTAGCAGTTAATGGTTATACTCACCTATTACACTTTCACCCATTATCCCCTTATTAAAAAAAGCTAAGCTCAAAGATCAAAGGATATTACGAGAATTAAAAAATTAAAAAAAAAAAGAAATTAAAAAATGTATATATCAAACCCGTTTAAATAAGATTTCAAACGAAATGCAAATTCATCAATGGGAAAATTACACGATGAATCGAACGAGATAAATTTGGATTATTTTCCTTTACTTTGTTCGGGAGAACATCAAGTTGGTCTTCGCTTCGAGAATTTTCCCCAGGCGTGTTCCCGCCATCGTTTGCAATCGCGATGAATATCGAGAGGTTTCGAGGATCGAGACGCGTAAAATCGAGATTCGCGCTGCCCCGCTCGCGGGATACGCAAAGTTCGAGAGGCCAAAAGCTCATAGAATAGAATTCCTCGCAGGAATTCCATTTTACGCGGCCATTGCCGCGAGCCAGACAATTCGATTCGGTTCGGAGGCGATTCATTCTACCTTCGCCCCGAACAAATAATTTTCCACGCTCGCCGAAAACCTATCGCGAGATCAAATACCACATATTGTCTCTAACATATGCGAGCTCGCAAAAACGCAATTTATCGCGTATGCTTCGGGAACGTGTAATTTTTCTGACCGAAATAATTTTCTTTCTCATGTTGAGCTGCTTTCAATGCACCAACGTTTTACCCTTTAGTTTCTTCCGTATAGTATTATGCTCGTGTTAAACCAACGTTAATGGAAGAGAATTTTTTTTTAATTTTTGTAATTTAAATCATTCTTTTTTTTACGAATTATTCAGCGACTGAAAATGATGTTGTATTTCTCTAGACAATCAACATCCCCTCAACACTCTTCTCTCTCATAATATATATAATATTATATTTACCAAATATATTGATCCAAAGGAACGATAGATATAAAATATTGAAAAAAATTGATCATCCGTGATTTTAAAAATCCCACGTACCGTAATTTCGAGAGTGCGCCCCAGCTAGTGTCCTCCGCATCGTCCGAATAAATATCACGGCACGGTCGCGTGCGCGAGCAAAAACAATTCTTTCGTTAATTTATTAGCCGTAGATCACTGTCAGCCGGCCGCTGTTTCGGCTTTCCCCCTCCCCGGCTCCCTGGGCCAGGACAATTTCGAGGATCAACGCGGTTTCTGGCCGTGACACCGGAGCGGGGAGCGGCACGCGACGTCCGCAGGAGATCGATCGTTAAGGGCAACGCGTTTCGGACGATTGACCGTGCAAACGAACCACTTCCTTTTCCGGATCGTGTCTACGACCTCTGGCGCACGAACCAGCTTCAGTTCAGGGGTTGTATTCCTTCAAGGCGTGGAAATCTATGGCCGAGGGATCATAGATTTATCCGTTTCTTTTTTTCTTCTCTCTGTTGGACAATTGCGATTTATCATGAGATTAGAAAGTAAGAAATGAATTGATGATCGTGAAAGAGAAAATAATAAATATTGAATGTTTCGATGTTTTATTATTTTTTTTTTTCTTATTTTACTTTTACTTGATTGCACGTTAAATAATAAATGTACATTTACAATTATTTTATATAATTATTTCACGCTATTGTGTGGCTATTAAAATGTAGAAATGAGATTCGTCTATGCCTCATCATTGCAGAGAGGGAATTGCTGGGGGTGGGCGAACGTACGAGTATAAGAATAATTTGAAAAAGATCTTTGCTAAAACTCGCTCTTTCTAAACTCGCTAGACTATGTACTTTTCGTCTTGAAGAAGACTCATCGTCACCGACATGCGCACACATAGAAATTCGCAGACAGTACTTAGTCTTTCCAATGTACACATAGACATCTAAAATCTCAACCTTTCAAAGATAATACGATGTTCTTAAAGGTCTCTTCCGTATCTTCGTGATACCTAATTACTCTAATTGCCAAGTGTCTGGATTATCTTGCTTTATTTAATTATTATTAGATATTCATTAGCTATCGTTAGATAATAAATTGTGCAAGCGGAATGTGTTAATAATTTTGGTTCAAGACTTAATTTCGAAATTCAATTTAAAAATTTAATAAGTTAGAATTTTGGTTTATGCAGAGATAAATCTGATTAATCTATAATTATTCAAGGTATGAATTTCATTTATTTTATGCAACAAATCTATTCGTTTTCACATATAATTGTTAGATTACTTTCTATTCTATATCTATTATTATTATTCTTACGATAAAATGAATTAGAGAAACGAAATCTTATAAATTATATTTAATTTAATGTATTAAATTAATATATTAAATTTACTTTTTATTATAAATTATATTTAAATTATTTGTTTGTTCAGTGATAGAGAATCATTATTTCATACTTTTCTTGATTGCAATAACAAAAAATAAAATGAATATAATTTATAATTGCGAATAAGAGACAGTAAAAGGGAAATATAATTAGAGATCCTATCCTCTCTTACACGCAGAAAACATTTTTAATCGACAAAATAAATCATTAAATTATACGTTACATTATTTCTTATTGACAAAAATTCTAATTACTGACTTTCTTTTTCTTTTTTTTAACACGGAATGAAACCAATAATTAGTTTTCATTTTCTTTCTAGTTTTCAAATTGTCGACAGCTTCTTTTCATTGGCCGCAATAATTAAAAATTAATTATAAATAAACACCTTACCTTATCCCAATATTTTTCAAGAAACGAATTTTATTCAAACTCACGATATCGATCGTAAACTGTATGATCCTTTTTCCTCTCCAAGATCACTTGTTACAAAACTGGGTCGACGAATCGGAATCGCTGTTCGAACGTATTCAGAAACCAGCAAAGAAACGTTGCCACGGTTGGAATCCATCGGTCATCGAGTCATCAAAGAGCGCCCACCCTCTTTCTCAAAAGTGAAGCCACGAGACTTGGTACCGTGCCCCTCCCCATTTTTTTTCAATTCCGTCTGTTGACCCCAATTCCAGCCGACACATTCGCAAGGGTCGAGCTTTGGAAAAGCTCGAGGTGTTCGTCTGCCATGGCGTCGCGATCCGCACAATGACACGAGTGTGCAGCCTCTTCTTCACGCTCGCGAAACGTCGAGCATGCACTCGTAACGCCTCTCCATGTTGTGTAAGGTCGGGACCAAGAACGTCGTAGGTGAGGAAAAGGTATGGAAAGTAGGAGAGACGACGGCTGAGGGCGAATGAACGTGAAACGGACGAACTCGAGCCACCACCCAAAGAGATCTCGAGCCCCAGTCCCCAGAATGACTCGTAATTATGGCGACCGTCTTCGAAATAGAATTCTCTCGCGACGATGACGAGTCATTCAGCGACCCTGCGAAAGGTGGAAGGATTAATTTTATCCATATTCTGATCAGTGAATGTCTTGATTGATCATGTTTCTTCTTTCAGATTTTAAATTTGTTGGATGTAAATTTGTCGTAGTGTAAATAAAAAGAATTATCATGGTATGAAAATGAAAATTCCATTGTCGATCGTTCTTCTAATAGGGGTAGTTATATTTCGTTTTCATTATTGAGAAATGAAATATACCGTCGTTGAAGTTTGGTTCAAGTTTAGATAACTTTTGAAGCTTTGTCACTATTCAAAATAAGCTTGGAAAAAGTTGTTTTCATCTGTTTCTTGTTCTAAAATGAAGGAAGAAACGGAGTAATATCGAATATTCGTTGTTAATCATAGTTCATGAGAGTGGTTTGTGCTTTTTAATAATCGTGTCCCATTTTCCATCACATCGCGAGTTTTAATCTGGCACGATTTTAATCATTCCATTCAAATTAAATGTTGCAACGTTTAACTGTTGTTCTGAATATTTTAAAAAGTATTCTGAACTTTTTATCGACACGAGGTTTCGAACAATTTTAACGTCTCGAACGAGTAAATTAAAGTATATTGGATTATACAAGATTCCTTAATCACGATGAAACATTTCGAGTAAATTGGATCCGCTCACAATTTTGAGATATAGATAATGTAATACAACATAACATAATCAATATTTTGATCTATGCTTAAAAAAAAAAAAAAATAAAACAAAACTTTATAATTCACGTCGCAAATTTGTTAATTTGTCTACGATACTTGACACGTTGAGGCGCATTGCAAGAAATAACCCTTTTCTTTTCTTTTGCAGAGGGACGCGCTTCATCTGGAGCCGAGCAACGTGGCAAATTGTGTGTCCAAAGGGAAATCAGAGGTGAATTACTTCTTTATTTCATTATCGCATTTACCGGGCCGGGTTCGCGCCGCTTTTCAACGGAATTTTAATAACGGCGCAATCTAATTAAAGCGTCACTTAAAATGGGACTGCGGAGATGGTAATTACCTCAAGTATAGGGGCGTCACATAGGGAGAGAAAGAATAAAATTTCGTGATGATAAAACGGCCTCGATGCGGAGAAAAGGAAAACAAATTAACTTTTCCTTAGATTTGAGAAAGAAAAAAGAAATATATTCCTTCGTCGAAAGATAAAAAAGATATAGACAATTCATAGAGCATGATTAAGGATAGACGAAAAGAGAGAGAGAGAGAAGAATCACGAATAAAAGAACGAGTTACTCGAGTTCCTTTTCCTTTTTTGCGTGTAAAAATAAATGGATCGCGGTTAAATAAAATACGAAGAGGAACGAATAGAGGAGAACCCGTTAGAAATCCAGGGTTTAATGGGCCCCGCGTTTCAATTCTATGGAATCGTATCTAAACGAAATTTTATATCGAACAGATATTCGTTAAAACCTGTCAACGATGTTGCGCAATTTTTACTTTCGATAATAATAATGGGAAACAACTTTAGATCCAAAATGTTTCCACACGCGAGAGGAATTCGTTTTATGGAGTATCGATCGGGCCGCGTTGACGTTCCCTTAATTGAGAACGAGATTCGTTCGTCTGATGACGTTTCCAATTTGGCGGTGATAATGTTTTCATATACCGATAATTTTCAAGCGGGGGAGGGAAACACCCACTCCCGCTAATTGGCGATTTTTCGCGCGATATTTACGCGCATGACGCCCGGGCGTCGTTTATTTTATACAATTCGTAATGCGGACGAGAAAATTCGAAAGATAAATTGCGCGAAATTCACCGTTTAACTCGTCATTTCTTAACAGTGGCGACATCTGTTGGAAACCGTAAGCATAGGCGAGAAAAACATCGATTTGATCATCTTCTGTTTGTTTTTATTTTTTTTCAAGTTTTTTCGTTTTCAAAGATAAAGTCTTGTATACGTTTCTTATGCGGATTATTTCGCACATTATTTACAAATTCGTAATTTCCTTGTACAATTCTCCTACTTAAAATAATCATTCTCATACAATGAATAATTAGATAAAGGATGATAATTCGAAATAGTTATTAAGCTCTTTTCTTCTCTCTCTCTCTCTCTCTCGAAATAATAACTTAAGTGGAAGGAATTATCGGAATAATGATACCTAAAGATAACTCGATAATATTCTTCAACATTTTATCGCTTCATCTTGCAGACGTAACGATCGCATTTTAAGGCGGACAATTCGCCGCCGTTTATCGCGGCTTCATTCGGTATTCATCGCGCACGCATAGGCGAGGTGTAAGGTCCACGCAAATACTCTCTACGTGACGACAAAACCAATTTATTTCCCGCGCGCCAATTCGCAGCGAAATACGCGAGGCGACGTGATCGACCATCAGGTGGAAACCCTTTGCCTCGCGATCCCGCTCTATATAATTTTCTGAAAAATCCGTGTCCACGCATCGGAACACTTGCCCTTCTCCCTTCCACACGACCGTGGCCACGTTTCTTCGCACGTATCCGTGGGAAATTCAATTTTCTTTCCCCTTCTTTCGCAGCACTTCGACTGCCGGAATCACATAAGGGTGATCCAGCCAATGGGGGATGGAAATCGGCTGTACATGTGCGGCACGAACGCCCACTCGCCTAAGGATTGGGTGATTTATGTAAGTATCCGTGTGTTTGTTCTTCATTTTTCCCCGTTTGTTTCACGAATCGAATCGAACCTCGCTGGTTTCCGTGTCGAGCGATTTTTTCAGCGTTTCGAATCCGTACGCCCTTTGGTAAACATACTAAAGCGAAACTTTGGAAGGGCTCGTCCAATTTTTGCATAAGCTTTTCTTCGATTGTTTTACCTAATTTGAGAGAGAAAATAATTTAATTCTTTCGAAGTAAAATTTATTAAGTCATTTGATCAATTTGAATGGTGTTTCGTACACGTAGATATATATATATATATATACTTTTTATTTAAGAAACTTTAAATGGCAGATACACGAAATTGAAATATACTATGTATTTTTAAAAATGTTTATTCTTTTCATATAAGGAGAAATAAATAAATTTATAGATAAAAAGTCGAAAGACAAAATTGTATAAAGTAGATAGTAACGTTTAATGTCTCTAATCTCTGTATCGTTGGTGCTTCGTGCAATTTAGGTATCAATTCCTCTCGTGGAATCTAACACAATTTCACCGGTGGTGCAGTTACGCAACAAGGTAAATGAATCGTGCGTTCAAGTACCCGTGTAATGAAGTCAAAGAATATATTGGTCTCGCTTTGTCGAAGATTACGACTCCCGTGCGTGTAATAGAGTTTCGGTAATGTGTAGCTTTTGCGTAGAAACGTGCTACTCTAACCTCAAATTTTCCGCCATGCATGTGCAAGCAACGTGTCCCTTTTATAAGCATATTAAATTTTTAATTTTAGAATTTTATGTTGTACAATTTTTTTTTGTAATTTTTATCACGAAAGAACAGTACGAAAATTAATGTATATTTTAATTACATTTTCCACAATTATGCAAATTATATAATTATATTTATTTTTCAACAAAAATTTATAATTTAATTTATAACTTATTATTATTCGGTTATAAGAGATCATAATAGTCTGAATTAAATTTATGTTTCAAGAAATTAAACTTTAATTCATAGATATATTTTATCCAATATATTCAAATTGTTATTCACAATTTTTCTGAACTAAACTTGAGCTAATAATATCCAAGTACGAGCTAATAATATCCAAAGCAACGAAGAAATAAAACGAAAGAAAATGAAAACCTGTACTCCTTCAACCCTATAATCGACACGTTGTTATCATTTTACGGATCCCACGAAACACTTTAAAATTCCAATCGACACGGAACGCGAATAATAAAAATAAGTGAACTGTGACCGTTTCACGAGCCTTTATATGTTTATCGAAGCTTGGATATCGTTTACAGAGCAATCTGACCCATTTACCTCGCCACGAGTTCGTCCCGGGCGTGGGAATGGGCATAGCGAAGTGTCCTTACGATCCTGCGGACAATTCGACGGCCGTGTGGGTGGAAAAGGGGAATCCTGGGGACCTGCCAGCTCTTTATTCCGGAACCAACGCCGAATTCACGAAAGCCGATACCGTAATCTTCCGCACGGATCTGTACAATTTAACGACCGGTCGGAAGGCGTTCAGCTTCAAGAGGACGTTGAAGTACGACTCGAAATGGTTGGACAGTAAGTGCACGGCAATTTCTTTCCCTTTCTTCGTTCCACTTTAAGTCTGAGAGAGAACGGAGCCAATATCCCCGGAGAATTAGTGCTTCGCCCAGTGGAAACTTTTTATACGGATCTAACTAGATGGAATCGTTGTAACAAAGCTTTAAATTTGACCGTGTTTTTCATCCGGCTACGATATTTGAAGGTATTGGTATTTTCGCGAGCGAGCAAGGTTGTGAAGTTGAGGAAGAAGGAGATTTTCTTTGGAGTGGAGGGTTAGGAGGAAAATGTTATTGAGAAAAGTTGGCAGAGTCATTTTTAGCTAGTAGTAACTACTACTAGGTTCGCTTCTGCGTGAGACTCTGATCTTGAAATATCGCAATTGGGGAAGCAACTTTTATGCGTCGTATCTGTCTCGAAAAATTGTTACTTATTGTAACAAGAAACGGTTCAATTTTAATTATTATTATTTGAATTTTTAAGATATCATTATATTATAATATTATAATACAAAATATTAAGCATTATAATTCACGATTTTCTCGAATTTTGAATTTATTTCTTTTTAACTCGTTGCTACGAATTTCTATGTATATACCTATTCGATATTTCAATTTTATCATTTATCGTATAGAAAGTACATTTTCTTTTTTGAGGAAGAAGAAGAATCGAAATTGAATATTTATCGTAAATCTTCACCATTAACAGTATTCTCCTTGAATCCATGCCAGCAATAAATCAGTTAAATTTCCGGTCATCTATAAATTCCCATTTAAAATTCTTATCTTCAATCGATCTTACCTCTTTAAACGCAATTCCACCAACCGGCACAAAACCGTAAAATTGAAAACACACCACCGATTCTTCCTCACTCGTGTTGAATATTCATCGATCGTGTGACGTCGTCAGACGGCAAAGAAGTCAGCGTTCACCGCTTAAAGCCGCTTGTTCGCCCTATCAACAAAGAAACTTTCATTAAAATCTGAATCACGGATTTCCCTTGTTGGGAATACACGAAGAAGAAAGAAGGAAAAAGAAAGAGAAAGAGAGAGAGAAAGAGTACCTTCGTTACAGGGAGACGACTCTTTGAGACTCAAGAACGTTGCAAGAAACGCGTGTAATACGCGTGTACCTCGGTTAAATAGTAAGCGGTATAAAGCCAGCCGATACCACCACCGGCGTCTCTGTTCTCCGGAAACGGTTTGTCTGAACGGTTTTCCGTCTTTTCAGACCGTTCACGAGGAACACGCGATAAAGAGGGCGCGTTGTATGGGATGAAGGATTCGAGGGGTAACACGATCGGCTGGTGTGGGTGTTCAAGGGTGTCTCGGTTCTAAGAAGGTTCGAGACACAAGCGATAAAATAACACCCGAGAAAAATTCTTCCTCCGACTAAATTCTCTCGTTCGTGGCTGTCTTTTAGCCCTGTGGAATGAAAAGAGGAGCACTGTTGGCCGGATGGAACCCTCCCGCCCCCTCTTTACGCGGTGTATTCCGATCTTTAATCAGTTTTCAGCCGGGTCGTTGGATCGGGAAGGGTGAGGGTGGATTATTGCGATTCGTTGGATTTTTTCGTTACCGAACGGAACACCGGCTGGAATTCGAAAGCGGGCGGGGGAAATTGGAAAATGTAGATTAGAACGTGTTCCGTGTATCGGATCGTGGAATGCGGTAATCAGATTCAAACGCGTCTGAACAGCTTTGATTTGTTTGGATTACGTTTGTTTGGCTCGTTTGATTGTGAATTACGTTTCTCCAATGCCGGGGAACACCACCGCCGCGCGGGGTAATCGCGAAAGCGTGTAATGACGATGTTATATTTAACGAAGGTGGGGGCCTGTTTGCTTGTGCAAAGGTACAAAGGTATGGCGAAATACTTTGCCTCAATTTGGACTGACCCTCTTCCCCTCCACTTGTTATTCGATACTGGTTTTAAGCTGTCGTTAAACTCTCCATTGACGCGTATATCTTCATCATTAACCTCTTGAGCGTTGATTTTTTCCCATTTCATTTATTCCTACAAATTGATAATAATACTGTGTTATAAATAAAGGAAGTAAATATTAATATAATAAAAAATTTAAAAAGTATTTATTTAAGCAATTGTACTGTTGACATTATTTTAATATCATTTAGATATTCATTGATCAGTTGATAATATAAATTTAAACTTACTTAAATATCGAGTTACAAACAACAAATGTTCCTGTACAGAATCAAGTTTAACTTTCATTTTAATCAAATAATTATTTCCGAATGAAATACAATTAACATTATCAATGAATATTAATAAAATATTCGTGAGAACGTTATAAAATCGTATTACAAGTTTGACATAATTATTCAAATATTTTCACGAATCGTTGTGCATTCAATCTGGTCCGAGCAAAGGATGCATTCACTCGAAAGCGAAAGCAACCGTGAAGATAAACAATTGTCTAAGAATAATTCAGTCACGTATTATTCGGCCGCGAAACAATTTCATTTGCGCCGCGTGTTGCTCCTTATCACGTTGAGTCGAAATCATAAATCCTCGCGCGAACTTATCAATTAATTTCAACTTCAACCCCCGTGTATCTTGTCTCTCGCGGCGAGCCGGGAAATAATAGCATCTCGGGCTAGCTGCTAGTTGCCTTATATTTCTCATTAGAGGCGCCTGTCTCCCCCTGCCATCTTGCCAACGATGGCACCGAGTAAAATTCGACCTTCTCCCTCTCTCTCTCTTTCCCCACCTCCAAGGTCGCTCAAGGTCTCGAGAAGGGGAAACAAGGTGAAGGAGAACCTCCCCCTATTCCGCATCCCCCATCAGCCAAGGCGAGATGCATGATTAGCCGTTTGTTTCATCGTTTAATTTGAAGCAGGCACCCCTTTCAGCCTCTCCCTCGCCCCCTCCCTCGCGCTCTTTTACCACCGCTTTCAAGGGCGGGACGTTGCCATCAAGAGCCATTTCCCCGCATCGAGTTTGTCTATTAACAGAGGCGTTGATTAAATGCAGGAGAGAGGGCAGAGAGACGGATAGGTTCGCGTGCTCGCTGCTCTCTGTCTCTCTCTCTCTCTCTCTCGATTCTCTCGCCCTCTCGAGCGTCTCTCGTTCTACGCGGCAAAGTACGCGGAATGAAGATCGATGCGATTCGCGGTTGGGGAGATAAAGGAAACAGGGATCGAAGAAAAAAGTGTGGAAGTTTTTAAACGAGGTTTTTGAATAAGTGGACCAGTTTCACGAATCGATCGTTTCTTTCCTTACGTTGTGCTTCAACAATTCTGAGAAGAATTTCCTTGTTTGTTTATCCCGAGGAGATTAACCTCGTTCGTTGGGTTTGTTGTAATCCCTCGTTACGCGAGGATTGTTTATAATTAAATGGGTAGGTTGGCTCCATTCGTAATTTTAAATTATGCGATAAATTCAGCTTAATCGGCGATCAGCGGTTTTATACCGTTCAGCGTCGTTTAATTCGTTGTGTAAAGTGTTTGAGAGCCGCCATTCGGTTTGTTGGTTTAAAATGAACGAGGTGGATTTACGTTTTGGTACGAGTTTCACGAGTATTTAATATTTTACTTGATCGCAGTGTAAATAGGAGTTAGATTATGCGAGTTAGAGGATTCAAAAGAAATGAATAAATTCATACGTTTAAACTTCAGTACTTTCCCTATTAATTTCTATTGAAATCTATTGAAAACATGATACACAAAACATGAAATTTTTTACAAATCGAAGAAAATCAATCGATAAATCAAACTCACCCGTTAATTATGAAAGTAAAATCTCATCATTCTTATCAAGAATCACAGATTAGTATCCCGTTTCTTAACACAAACGCGATCAAACGTCCGAAGAAAATCGAGACGAAACGTCGCGTCCAATTAACTCCACCTAAATTCTCCTCCCCCTTCCCAATTCGTCTTCGTCGAAACCCGTTCAACCACCATAAACTTGTCCTGAAACTTGGAAACACGGATTGTCAAAACGAATCGCAGGAAGTGAACGGGCCAAACTTACCAAATTTCCCTATATAAACCGTGTAAAGTAGATTTTCTGCTAGGCTTGGAAATAGGACGGAGATGGCGAGCATTTCGAAAATTAACCGGTCGCGGGTAATTTGGCATATTTATTAACGAGACGTCGTCCGTAATGGGTAGCGAGAGACCCGCGGAAAATAGAATTTCGTATTTGGCCGCGCCGTCTCCGCGCCACTTGTAAACTTTATGAAACTGGCCCCAAGGGTGATTTCATTATTCCTCGCGCGAAATCGAGAGTGAGAACGCCGCCGGAACGGCGTTCCGTTTCCGCTCTCACCGTACAATACCGTATCGCCCTCTCGACGAGGTTGAGTAGTCCAATCAAAACTCGCTCGTGTTTCTCCCCGAATCCAGACATTTCCTTTTTCCTTCTCTGCTTCGTTTCTCTTCCACCCCGCCCCTTCACTCTGCCCTACCAACTCTCTTTCTCTGTCTCTCTTCCTCTTTTCCACTTCCGCTCCTCGATATATCAAACTTGGAGCGGGCGAAGCGTCAGACAATCGATTTAATCGGTGAACTGTGAAAGAGATTGCGGCCTCCACCCCCTCACGGTCGCATAATGTAAAATCGACGAGAAAGAGAGAGAGAGAGAGAGAAAGAGAGAGAGAGAGAGAAAGAGAGGGCGAGGCGCGATTTAAGCACGGAGGGGAAGAAAAAATTCGATTTCCGGCAAGGGAGCATCGTTGTTTTTAGACGAAAAACGTCCGTGGTGAACTACTTGCTCGGAGTATCGCATGGGGAACGGGGCAATTAGGAAGGCGTGACTCGAATGCATGGTTAATTGATCGGAGGAATAAAATTCGACGCGTGGGCGGATATTTTTCGGGGAATTTACGGGCAGGTATTTCACGTTCTTTTTGGTGGAAAGGAGGAGGAATAGGCTAATTGAAGGGGTTAGAGGGGAAAATGGCACGAGCGAGAAAATATTTCGTTTGAGAAAATTATGATTATAATTTAATGTATTGTTGTTTCTTTATTGTTGATTTTGTAGAATTTGTTATTAAGATATATTGCTTTTTAACACAGAATAGCGTAGAATATTTTTGTTATTCTTGATATTAAATTTTATATGATAATGTTTAGTTCTTTTTCTTCATCAGAACAATAATATAATTTAAACTTAAGAATACAAATGATTTAACTATTCTTTAAATCACAAGGAAATCTTGTTATTCTAGATTTTAATTTTCATTAACCAACATAATCGATAAAATTATCGATGCTCGAACAACAGTAACGAGCGAACTGTTAAGCGGTTTTTTTACGATAACAAATTATAAAAGCGACAAATGGATGCTCGTTAAAAATGCGTTCAAGTTGGAAGCTTCGTCACGGAATGCTAAATGAAAACTAGAAAAGTCGTTTCCTCTTCGAATGTAAAACTTGCCGCGTCGTAACTTTTTCCTTCGTACGTCTGTTTTATAGTTTTTCTCTTCGTTATGCCGCTGGTTCCTCGAAATTTCAAAGTTTTTCGAGAGCTTTGACGATCGTAACCCTTTCGAAATAATTTCTTCGACGGTTAAACTTTTGTTTCTCTAACCAGCGCCTCGATCTCGAATGAGGCATCGACATAAGATACTCGACGCGCCATCTCGTGTAAAAATATCAAAACTAAACATTGACCCTAAGTATATTATATATTATACACTATTTTGTATGAAAAGTATACAAGTTAAGAATTTTCATTTTATTTCATATGAAATATCATTTATAATCTGTGGATAGAAAATAATATGACAAATTGAAATTCAACGGAAATAGGATGATGACTATTTTCAATTTACGTTTCATCTCTATTTTATTTTTATACGTATACATCTTTCGATTTTTTTTTATGTGTTATTTTAAAAATTTTCAATCTCTATTTTATTGCAAAATATCTTTCCTTCTGTCATGAGTCGAAATTCAATAGTTTAAGCGAGATGATTGACTTTATTCAACAACGTGTACCGTTTCCAGTGTATGTTGAAATTTCTATTCAAACTATTGAAATTTCCAGCGGATGTAAAACAAGCGATGGCATGTTCCATCGATGATACATGTAGACTGAATGAAAATTCACGGAAAAAACGCGTGGTATGTCCCTTGTTAATGTATATATGAAATACTACATAATGAATCAGTTTCTTTCTCCTCTTTTGGAATGCTTTATATTTTTTAGACTTATATAATTAAATTGCGGTTTTCTTTTATTTATATAATTTTCAAATTATAAAATTAATTTACGTTATATCATTTTTCATATCCATATTAAAACTGTATTACGAAATTCCAGAAATTCTGATTAATATTTCTATCCAAATTCTATACATAGATAATTCAAAATGATATCTTATTAACATTTGTTTGATTAATTTTTCTTTATTTTCAAACCGATGAAAAATTTTCTCTTGATTTTGACGTGTTGATGTTGATTTGTTAGCAAAAATCAAAGGAATGATGGATCATCGTTGAGTATCTGTATCCTTATTTGGTGCTTAAAGAGGAAATCGTTCGAAGGAAATCTTCTCGCGGAATTTCATCAAGGGTAGAATCCTAGCACAGCGGTAGTCTCCGTCGAAATTACTGTTTCTCTGGATCTGACACGGAATTCAGTTTCGTTTTTACGCCCCGCTTGGTATTTCCATAAATTTCCCCACGACCGGAAACCGATGTTCAAACTCGAATTAGATTTGTCAAGTTATACTTACCGAACGTTAAACATAATTTCGCGTTCATCCTGATATTCCCACGTTATAAATATATATTTATTTCACTATTTTATGCCCTTGATTTTAATATCGATTAATAACAAGTATCTCCCTTTTACATTTTCTTCCTCTGTTAACGACATATTTTAAAAGATATATAATTAGATTCTTGAAGCTGATCATAATTTTTAAGTATCTTGATTCATTTGAAATGATAACAAGAATTTTTGTAATATGAAAGAATAATGGTTTTTGATCAATTTGTGTTCATGAATCACATTTTTTAAATTAATTATATCGATAAATGTTATAATAAAGTGTCTAATAAAATTTTCACGATATATCTATAATATTCTTGTGATATATCGATGTATAATGACATGAGAATTTGTTTGAAAAAAAAAAAATATTAAAAATTCAAAAGAATTGAAACAAAATAAACGTAAAATACAATAAAGATTTTCGTATAACGAATAATGAAGAAATTGCAATTCAGTCTATTCGGTATCACTTGGTTGAACTTTCCCCGAGAATTCTCGGATAACAGTGTTTCCTTGATCGAATAACTCTTATTCTTTGTGACTGTTTCAGAACCTAATTTCGTGGGATCTTACGACATCGGCAGCCACGTATTCTTCTTTTTCCGCGAGACGGCCGTGGAATACATAAATTGCGGGAAAAGTGTGTATTCCCGCGTGGCGAGAGTTTGCAAAAGGGACACCGGCGGCAAAAATATTCTCTCGCAAAATTGGTCGACTTATCTGAAGGCGAGGTTGAATTGCTCGATACCCGGCGAATTTCCATTCTACTTCAACGAAATACGTAAGTCTGATCGATTAAAAGAATAACGTATTAAATCTCACCTTTCTCGATTTTTCAATAATCACAGATCTTCTCGATCTTTATTTCGACTCCATTTTTTTTTACTAATATAAATCCAATGAATTTTTCATTCTCAATATCTAATTTCTTATTCGACTTTCAATCGATGCAATAACGTCGTAAAATCAATCGATGCACGTTTATTTTCAGAGAGTATTTACAAGGTGCCAGGCGATGACACTCACTTTTACGGTACTTTTACCACGTCGACGAACGGATTGATGGGCTCGGCGATTTGCTCGTTCCATATCGACGCGATTCAAGAGGCGTTCCGTGGAAAATTCAAAGAACAGGCGACGAGCAGCAGCGCCTGGCTTCCGGTGCTCTCCAACAAAGTTCCTGAACCGCGGCCCGGTCAATGTGTGAACGACACCGAAACGTTCCCGGACACGGTCCTCAACTTCATTCGATCCCATCCCCTCATGGATTCGGCGATATCGCACGAGAATGAAAAACCCGTCTTTTACAAACGAGACGTGATGCTCACACGATTGGTCGTGGATAAACTGCGTATCGATTTCGTCGGCCTCGATTTGGATTACACGGTCTATTATGCTGGATCAAGTAAGTTGAAATTAGAAAGTAATAGAGATGATTTTTAAATTTGAAAAAGAAAAAAAGAAATGGAATTGGAAACAAGAACTGTTTACTATTTGAATTAATAACAGGGATATCTGTATTCATTGCTCTGTTATTTCATTATTATAATTTAAACGAACATTTTTCATTCACATACCGCTGGAAGATTCGTTTTTCCAGTTGTCGTAGATTCTTTTTACTGTGGAGTACGATTCTATTTTTTCTTTTTTTTTTTTTTTTTTGAGATTCGATTGCGTCAGAAGTACTTGTTTAAGCCGGGAAATTATGATAAGAAATTTAATTCGGGACGCGTACCAATGTTGGAATGCGTTTTGCGCTCCGCCAGTCGATTTGTCGTCGTGAAACTTGGCAAGATAATCACGGGCGAACTTCAAAGTTCTTGCAGTTGACTCGTACAATCTGCTATTGCAATCGCTGCTTTCGTCTCCCGGCCAACTGTCGAGTGTCTATTACCGCTAAAAACTAATATAATCAGAAGTCCCTACCTGTACAACTATGAACTACAAGAAATGAGTTGCGAAAACACGTCACAACTCTGAGACTAACTACACTTTGAAACTTTCATTATCGATCAATAGCAGATACAATCTTCTAATTGTACGAAGTGAGCGTAATCGCTCTCTTTCATTTACAGGGTATCTCAACTTTTTCCCTTGAAAACTTTGCGAAGTTAAGTTTTACAGGTGAAAATAAGATTAAAATGTCATTCGATGAAAAATCTATAAATTCTTCATGGAAAGAAATATAAAATTAGGTTAGCATTTCTTTATGAAAATATCAAATTAATATTCCTTAAAAATAAAAATCTTTTTCATTAAAAAATTCAGATATTCAGATTTTTCATTGATAGAATTTTGCAACATTTAAAGATGGAATTAACGATGAATAAAACTATAACGATTTTTGTTACATCTTAAAAATATATCTTGTCCTTTTCTGGATGTGAATGAATGCTTGTTTCCCCAACACGAAATGACATTTTAATCTTAATTTTATTTTATCATTAACAAGAATTTGTACAATGATAAAATCTGTACAATGGTATGAAAAAAATCTGGAAAAAGTTATCTTGATACAGTGTTAAGGGAAAAGTACTCGGTTTTTAGTTTTACTTCCGAGTGAAAAAATTACGTCAAACTATTTAACACGTTTCGTACGAAGATTGAATTTTAATGGAACTTTATAACGAAATGAGAAAGTTTCGTTGGCGTACTTAATTACGAAAAAATAAGAATTATATCTAATTTTTAACACTTTCATCTTCTTTTAAATTCATCTTGCTTAAATAATGAATGTTTTATAGAATTCATTAGAAAATATGGATCTTCTTTTCTTCAAACACATTTCCAAAACTATTAATTTGCATAAAATTAATTCTTAAATTATATCTACAATATAGATATCAATGACGTAAAATGAAATACAAATTAAAAAAAAAAAAAACATTTAATTTCATTTAAAAATAAAAAGTTATTTGTCAATTATTCTGGATTCTATTAATAAAACAATTTTCTATTATTTCCACGAATAAATCTAATATCAATCAGATCAATTACCTCGATTTAAATTAAATCCATTTCTTTTGTGTGTTGCAGGTGATGGACGCGTGCACAAAGTTGTTCAATGGATAGACAATAACGGGGAGTCCCAATCTATCCTGTTGGACGTTTTTGACGTGACACCAGGTGAGCCGATCCAGGCGATGGAAATCTCGAAGGAGCACAAGGCTCTTTACGTAGCCTCCGACCATCGAATAAAACAGATCGACTTGGTGATGTGCACACGAAGATACGACAATTGTCTTCGTTGCGTTCACGATCCTTACTGCGGATGGGACAAGGACACGAACACGTGTAAACCTTACGAGCCTGGGTAAGTTATATTTTCATTATTTCTTTTTTCCTCTTTTCTAAAATGTTATTCTTAATGTGTACATAAATATAGTATTGAAAATATTACGATACTTTTAACTTCAACGATCAATAATTTGATTCATACAACGTTAGCTTAAAAAGCAATCAGAGAAATTAACTCTCAATTAGGTAATTTGGATCATTTGTAAATAATTGGGTTAATTTAATTTTAAAGTTTAATCATTAAATTAAAATTGGAAATTAATTCTTTTTTGATAATGATAATTGGATCAATTTAAGTAATGATAAATAATCAAACGATGCGTTGAACAAAGGAAAAATTGTGCAATATTATAACGTAAAAATAAGAATCTGGAGGAGGTCGTAAATCTTCTAGAATTAAAGTATTAAGCTCAATGATAATGCTCGTTTTTTACGTGAAAATTGTATGAATTACGAGAGGCTTAGCTCTCCATGAAGAATATTACGAAATTTTATTTGTCGAGTTTATTATCTTAAAAATCTTTTTTTTTTCCCTCCCCTTGAAATTATTACTTCATTTATACATTCTGAATGATAGAATGATAAAACGTTAATGAATAAAATTTAATACAATTAAGACTTTTATAAATTTAATATTATCTTCTTTTTTAATATTTCATATTTCACATTGGATGAAATTTAATGCCTCGAATGGCCCACTTAGGTTAATCCGATTTAATTCGAGAGATTTACTCAAGGTATCTATTTCTGTTCTTCTTCTTCAAATTTTCATAAATGGCTTAAAATTCTTTCGAATCTATATCTGTTTATTCCATTTATCCAGTTATATTATGTATTGTTTATAGAACATTTAAATACATATTCATTTAATTCAATTCAATTCATCTTCGTGATATAATATAATCTTCTCTTCTATAATTATATCTACTGCATAGTGCAATGAATGGCCTAGATTTATACCAATACGTGCTGTGCTTGCAAATAATCAAAGATTCAATTTATTACCTCTTTAAATTAATATTCCTCAATTTTTAGATATTAAAAACTTTTTAACGAAATTTAATAGGATTAAAGCTAATATAATTATGAATGAAAAAAAAAAAAAAGAATTGTAGTTTTTCGTTTTGTCGATATACGTGAAAACATAGATTTTCCTTAATTCTGAAAGAAATCAAGTTTCATAATATAAATAAATAAGAGAACTGAATGACGAAGGAAAGAATTTTTAATTGTTCCATTTCTAAATAACAATTTAATAACTTCTTAAAATTTAAAAGGAAGAAAGTGAAACTTTTCATATGATCTTCGATTATAAACAACAAAAAATATCAAGAAGAATCATACTTAAATATTACCTCCATTCTTTTTTCCAGACTCCTTCAAGACGTGTCGAACAGCACAGCGGACGTTTGCGACAGTAGCGTGGGCAAACGGAAGCTGGTAGTCACTTGGGGCCAGTCGGTGCATCTCGGTTGCTTCGTGAAGATGCCGGAAGTGCTGGCGAATCAGGAAGTCAGGTGGTACCACTACAGCAAGGAGAAAGGCAGGTATCAGATAGCTTACAAGTACGGTGCCGGAGGGGACAAGTTCATCGAGACGTCCGAGAAGGGCCTGGTGATCGTTGGCGTGAACGAACAAGACGCCGGAAGATACGATTGTTGGCTAGGTGGTTCGCTACTGTGCTCTTACAACATCACCGTGGACGCGCATAGGTGCTCGGCGCCGGCAAAGTCTAACGACTATCAGAAGATATACTCGGATTGGTGCCACGAGTTCGAGAAATACAAGTCGGCGATGAAGAGTTGGGAGAGGAAGCAAGCGGTGAGTACACAGTTTCGTTCTTCGTTTGTTAATATTTAGAAACGTGTGATTTTTCGAAAAACTTCGAACGAAGTGAACAGATTTTTCGAATTTGTTTTATCAATTTAAGGGAAGATATTATTTTTTGGGAGAAACATTTGAACATTTCACTAGTTTGGAAAATCAAATTTGCGCGATTCGTTAAAACGTGTCGAATATAATCATCAATCTCGTTTTTATTTTCATGTATATTACTCAGTTTATTGATCTGTTTTTATTCGGTGGAAAATAAAATCTCGTTTTTTCGATATCTATTAATTTATTTAAAGTAAATATCGCGTTAGCGTTTAAAATAAATGGTTCGATTTTCTTGCCGCGATTTCCTTTTTTATTAAAGATTCTGAAGGGAAAAAAGGAAACTTATAAAAGAAGGAGAAAAGATGGAAACTCGTTTGAGAAAGGAATAAACGTTGGTAAATACGTAATTTGACTCTGAATGCAACGTACCTTTCAAAATTGAATTCATCCTTTATGTTTATAAAAATACAAAAGTTTCGTAGCAAGCTAATATTTACTTCCTACATGAAAAATTCTTTTCCCTTACTACAGATGGTTACGATCCAAAAGGATTAATATAACGAAATATAAATTGAAAATAAAAGCCAAAGATCTCCCCCCATTCTGTATATCTTTTCCATTTAAAAAAAAGATATAATACTCGAGTTTCTTTCATGTTTCTGCATAAATATGAACTCAAGTACCATACATGGAGCATAATCATATCTAAAGCAAAATAGCTTATTATATAGTTTATTCAATCTATTAATTAAACGTATGAGAAAGTAGTATTAAGCACGTGTAAATATTCTTTTAAATAAACTGAGCAATTGAAAAACTTTTAATTATTATATTGCGGTTAAATAAAAATTTCTTTTGAAGTAGTTTATTTATTTTTCAAAATAAACTTTTCAGATTGTACGTGAAAGACACGTGCAACGTTTTCCTTCAATGAAATTACATACAGATATAATCGCTATTAGTATCTCTGGTTATTAATCATTCGATATCGTCAAAATATTGTATGAAATATTCTCTATCAATTTTATCAAATATCCATATATTTATAGCTCAACAGGTGATTGTAACGAATCAAGTGGAAGTCAATATTTATACACAAACAACCATGTAAATTTTGATACAATAAAACAACCTCTTGTGCAATCGAATTAAAATCGAATTAGCCGAATATTAAAAGTGACAAATCATCTATGCTAAATAAATTTCCTTACATCAATATTTTCTAAAATACTTAATATTTTTTTTTATCTACACGAAAATTGTTTTATATTTCTCAATTTCTAAATTATTAAGAATTATATTAAGTTAACAATAGTTTACCAAAAGAGAGAAGAATTTTAAAAACATCTATTAAATCAAAAGCATCCATTTTTAAATTACTAGAAAACGTCCGCTCGATCGCCTGCTTGAGGAACCACCGTCCATTTCTCTGTTCCAGCAATGCGCATCGAGGCAAAACGACAGCAATCAAAATCTCCACACAAACGAGGTGTACGGCACCCCCTTGGTCTGATGGAGCCGATCGTTGGAGCCCTCTTCGAGCCGAGATCCGGACACACTGCCACGCACGAGCGTCCTGCCGAGGAATCGCGGTCCATCCACGATCAGTTGGGCGAGCCTCACTCTCCTTCTGACCGGTTACACCACTGCCTTCGTACTTTTTGCCGCTGGGACGATTTTTCGCCCCAATGAAATGTCGTAAAGAAGACAAAAAAAAAAAAAAAAAAGAAAAAAAAGAAAAAAAGAAAAAAAAAAAGAAAATCAAGCAGTCGAACGTCCGAAAACAGCTCGATCACCGCGACGTCCATCCTCGATCGGTTGGACGAGCCTCGTTCCAACTGTCCCCTCACCTGGAACGTTTCTTTCGATGGACACTCATCCCCCATTTCGACCCAATCGAACCGGATTACCCGAGAATACTCAACAGAGATTACTCGCAATCTGAATTCCGTCAGTGCAACGAGGTTGTTTTGTTTTGAAAACGCGCGGTATTCATCGAAAACCCATTATTAATTACGCCGTGAATCGCGTGTAACGCACGCATTCAAGGCCGAACATACCTAGATAAAATCCGTTTTTCCGTTTTTCTTTTTTTTTTTTTTTTCGGATGGACCGAACCCTCCTTCACGAACATTTTCTCCTAATTCGTGTGTAAATAGAAAGACACGGTGAAAGGAAGTGAGAATACGATTCCAGGACGTGGATCGTCTCGAGAGAAGTGCGCTTAAAGTGCGAACGAGAAGGAATGGAAACGCGCCTCGGACCGGAAAAGGAAACAATCGCCTGGACTGTGCTCGCCGATAATACACACATACATATATATATATATACACACACGGTTCCTAAAAGTTTCGTTTCTCACGGTGTGGAATTGTCCGAGACGAAGAGGGAAGAGACAAGAGATCGGGGAAGAGAGCGATTAAGAGATCGTTAAGATCGGCCGTGGTGATCGGGAGGCTGTTCGGTTGAAATAAGGCTCGAATCGTGGCGTCCGTCCGCAATGTAACCCGTTTAGAAACCGGAAATCAATCCTCCTGTTTCCTTAGATCTGTGATACGAACGAGAGACGAGACGAGAGAGAGAGAGAGAGAGGAGAGAGGCCTCTCGAGAGAGCGAACGGGTTCGGTTGGTCGCTTTGTCGGGTTAACTTGCGAGGTTACAACAGGAGCTGAAAATACAGGCGACGAGAAGAGGGATAAGATATACCGTAAGCTCGAGCTTCAACGTAGTTTTAACCGAGTCAAGATTGATAAGATCTTGTATTGTGCGAGTTGTTATATCGATTCGATATGATGGAGAAGGAGAGAAAGAGTTGAGAGAGAGAGAGAGAGAGTGGGACGCGTTTTTTTTTTTTTGAAGAAGAAGAAGAAAAACGTCACGCAGGTTACACATGAGATTATTTAGCGGCTGCTGCTCGATTAGCTTGTCGATTAGCTTTTCATATCAACAAATTCGCGTTGTGCACCGCCGTCTCTGTCTTCGGATCCGCACGATTCCTTTCTTCGCCTTGACTCGACGTAACTTCGTTTTTTTAACCTCGTCGATCGCGTTTCCTGTGTCCTCTTTTTATTATTATTATTATTTTATTTTATTTTATTTCTTTTTTTTCTTTAGGATAGATGCATCGATCGATCGATGCGCTTTTGTTCCTCGCTCCATAGATTATAGCATTGCAGTTATATTTCAGCGACTCTGATGGAATGTCTTAAAGTTTTTTGAATTTAATTTTATTATTGGACGTTATTATCATTTTTCGAGGATAATATAGAGGGAATTTCTTGATTCTGATTTATAAAATTGGATATGAATGTATGGTAACTGATAAATTTTCTTTTAATTCGTTTCATTTATATAGTCTCTATCTTTAATTATTTTTAATTTATTTCGACATCAGGGAAATATTTCTAAACTGTAAGTAATCAAAAATTTTTCCAGAATATAGAAAAATTTAGAAAATTAAGAATATTTAACAAAATTTGATTATTTTATTTAGTTTAACGAATAATTATTTTTAATCTTTAATCTTTTCGGTATTATTTTAAATACTTTGATCATTTTACAAACTGGACAAGATTCAATTTCACCAGAATCGCTATAATAAAACTCGAATTTACTAGACATTTACTAGACCATCCAACGATACCAACTGTTACCATAATCATCATCGAGAATTCTAAAGGTGCTACGCAGGTGCGTGATGGAGATCTTTAAGGCCTGTCATCCTTATCCTTTATACACTCATCGAACTTATACAGAGATACATAGAACACAAAACACGTATATACAAAAAAAAAAAAGAAAGAAAGAAAGAAAGAAAAAAACATACTCTTGTACATTTAGAATACAAATAGAAGAAATATAAGCAAATTTCTCGTACGAATCTATTCAGCATCCGATTTTTACATTTGCTCGAATTTTTGCACGAGTATCTTCTTGGATGCCAAAGATTCGAATGAAGAAAAAGAAAAAAAAAAAAGAAATATCTTCGTATATACCTCTGAGCCTAGAGAATAGAGTAAAATCCTGCTCGACGATTTTTGCCAGATCGAATCGGGTCTCGATCGAGCAAGAAATCGTTAAACAAATTCGAGACAGTTTCGAAAATCATCGCGGATCGATGCTCGGATGTCTCGTCTCGAGCAATGTGCAGCTTCGACAAGATGAAGAATGTCGGCGGGCACACGTTTCTTTTCGTTCCTTTATTCGATCGTGTCGTTCGATTAACCCTTTGAGGTTTCGACATTTTCATGGATAATAGGATAAAATTCTTCGAAAGTTGTATCTGTAACAAGATACGTTTTTATTAAATTGAGTTTTATTAATCAATAATATATATTAAATATATTTTTATTTTATTATATATTTAAGTTATAAGAATTATGACTCTTTTTTTAATCATAACATTTTCTCTTGAATATTAATCTCTTGTATCGTTATGAACTTAATTAATTCTCTAATTAACTGCAAAAAAGAAAAATAAATAAGCAATTATATTTTATAATTAAATTATACCAAAATTTATGAAAGTTTATACCAATTTTTTTGTAAAAGTAATTGCAGTAATCGCAAAGGGTTGAAATAACACGATCCACCGATTCTTATTCCAATATCTCCCTTTATATATCTGTAAAAAAACGCGTATATCAGCGTTTCCAACGCTCGATTAAACGTATTAGAGTCGTTTCTCTTCCGGTCCGAGGACGTTTGTGTGTACATAGGATCGTCATAATAATAGCGTATGGTATTTTTATAAAAATTCTGATCGGAACGACGCAATCGTAGACCGCGAGGAATATATTAGCGTTCCCCATTCTTCGCGCGAGACAATTTCCTTTCACCTTCTCTATTTTTTACCTTATCACAACTCCCCCTCTTCCCCGCTCCTCCCTCCCCACTCTTTCCCCAAAACGACACTTTCTTAGTATTTTAGTATTTTAAATCTTTTTTACAAATCGTATCGTATATTTACACGTAGAATTAGTTTATACCTTATACTTTATAACGTAGGGACAAGGATCGTCGGGAGGGGGGTAATATATATCCCCTCGCGCGATCGCTTCTACCAACAGAGATGGATGCTAACCGGTGCTGTATTAAACAATTCGTGGAACGGTCGCTGTTTCCTGAAGACCCAGTTCGCCATCGTTAGTATACATACGTGTAGGCTATAAAACATAGACCGTAGCAAGGTGATGACGCATCTTTCGTTTTGTATGCGTTTTGTATATGTGTGTGTGTGTGTGCGTGCGTGTGTGCGCGCGCGCGTGTGTATGTGTGTATGTACGTACGGATTTAAGTTCCCTCAAAGGCGAAGAACGACGATCAGGATGAAGCAAAATGACGAGAGGATATAAAAGAAAAAGAAAAAAAAAAGAGGTAAATATAATAAAGTGAATATAAAGAGAAAGAGATAGAGATAAACGAATAATAATAATAATAATAATAATAATAAAAAGGAAAAAACACCGACGCATAATGCCGTCGGTGATAGTTTCGCTCTTGTCCTTAAGTTTGTACATAAAACTCGTTCGTATTGTTGCGTGGTTCGCGTCGCGGCCGCTAGAGGTCCGCGAGTCAGTCCTCCTTCCTCTATTTGGACCGGAAATACGAGGACCGTGGACTAATCGAGACCAATCGTGGAATGCGAGCGAACCATTTAGTTATTCTTGTACAGAGATTTGGAACCGCCGCGTTCGACGATTTTTTGTTCTGTATCTATCATCTCGTCGCCGGCATACAAAGATATACACTGTCAGATAGTAAGAGATGCAGACTGTGCGCGTGTGAGAGAGATAAAGTGGACGATTGCTCGACACAAGCGAGAAAGAGAGAGAGAGAGAGTGAGAATGAAGAGATATATAAATATATATATATATATGAAAAAAAAAAAAAAAGAGTGAAATGAAAGATCGTAAGATTAAACACAATAATCGGTAAATTAATCCTGGAAATATGTACTTATTATGAGCTTCAAACAAGTATTGGATAGTATTATGTCGTAAGATTAAGGAGTAATTTTCGAGCAAATAAGGAGATGAATCTTGAAGGGGAATACCTTAGACTGTGCGTCCTATGATCGATAAGTTCAAGAGTTGCCTTCAAGACTATCGGAGAGAAAACATTTTCTTTTTCTTCGGTTTCGATCCACACAGAAGCGTGTTCTATGACGTAGGGGGGAGGGGGAAGGGGGGGTGGGTTTGTTACACACGTTCGAACACACGGATTCCACGGAGTAATCAGCGTGACGTGGATGCGAATAACGAGAATCTAAATGACGAGTAACGAAGAGAGAATGAAAGAGAATGAGGGTGTATAGAGGACTCGCGTGTGTCGTGACGAAGCGATACGTATAGAATAGCGATATATCGTATATATCGTCTGTGGAAAATTATTTGAAAGAAAGGGGAGGATATAGAAGATGAATGGAGCCGGTGAAAAAAAGTAAATAGTGAAGCGAGAACAAGAAAACAAAAAGAAAAAAAAAATAAACGCAGAGAATTACTAAGATATACTAATGTATATATCTTAAACCAGGAATCTCGCGTGTATTCGTCGAAGATTGAGGGGGGGGGGAGAGGAGGGGGGAAATGGACGGCAATGGATCGAGAAATAGCGTTCAAATAGCTAAAGGGATTAAAAACAAATTGAAAATGGCGCGAATCTCGACGAATGCGCGTTCAGACTCTGGATTACGAGTCGGCGTGATCACGGAAAGCAATCTAAGATGAACTTAACGTTGTTAGATATATTATTTGTAATATTATCGGAGTACTGTATATTGCGTGGACAGGATCGTTGCTGTTGGATCAAGGAGGGAGTTGGACGGAATGCAGAAAATTGTACGGGAGATAGATGAGCCGATATTCTGTGCTAGAACGACGAGAAAATTCCCGTAAATCGATTCGAATGAAAGATGATTACATAGAAACCGTAGAGACGAAGTTAAGCTACGCAAGATGTGAGAATGAACATCTGAAAATCGGCTTGGGGACCATCGAGTTTGAGGAACTCTCTCTTGATTCGATCTAACAGTCACGTTCGTGCCAACACGAAGATAGGTTATAGCTCGATTTAGTGTACGCTGTGCGA